GGGCACTCTTCAGATGCCTGTTACGACTTTAGTCCCTGTTTCCGCCTTCTACGACAAATTATTGCTGTATAAATAAGAGCAGATGCCTTGTAAAACGAATCATTTTTTTACATTCAAAGGGCTTGAGGTCACGTCTGCTTTCGATATCTACCATATTCTCGAATTTTGATAACCAAATTTTAACAAGTGAACGACACATATCTTGATACGTGGGGTGCTTTACTCTATCCGCGTGTCAATTTTAGCAGTACGAATATGCTAGACTTTTTAATTTGCAAGGAACTGCATTTGATTCCGTCCTTTCTTTCACACACCTGTTGTAGACTAGTGTTCTGACGTTTGGCTCTGAACACAAATAATGTTCAACAGAGATTTCCTCTGAATTTTATGCTGAACGTAATTCCGTGTTCTGAAGTGAATGCTGAGAATGTTAAGTGCAATCTACTGGCGCGACAGGCTTGTGGGTGTTTCCTCACAGCACCGAACATTCTATGATAACTGGAGCGGAGAATGTATAGGAAAGAGCACCTAAGACGTCGACAAAAAGAAGAGGGTCTTTTGTAAAGATTAGCTTGTGTGGCCGGTGGGTAGTTCTTGTGTAGTCACCTTGCTTTTATCATGAAAGCTTGTCTGTGGACCATGTTAAGGCCTCATCTATGTTCTTTACACCGGAAAAAAGTTTTCCTATGTCCTATGTGTAATGCTATGTTTATGTGACTACCTGACATTTGACCCCTGTACACGTGGGCTGGCCTTCGGGCCATGCTCAGTCCCATTTGTCCTGTTCACTTCGGAATACATGTACCCACACTTAATCACTGCCGTTTTCCATCCCATGGGAAGTCTCGGGACGCTATATTATGCACCACACTGTCAAATTAAAAGTCTTGGTATACTTTAACATTGGCCATAGCCTCTCAAACCTTTTATTGCTCAGAGAATTACGGTGCATGAACTGCAAGAGGGAGTATTAAGCACCGTATTACTGGAAGGATAGTTACGGGTTTTTGTGTAGCTGGAATAAGTTTCAGTGATCTAATCACTTGATCTCTTCTCGATAGTCAGATAGAGTGTAAGATGTTTGATCCCTTCGAGAAATTCCATGTAATCGAAATGTTAAGCCATTATTCTCGTATGAATTTCGTGATCACCACTCCTACGCGAGGTTCCTGTTGCATTTCGATCTAACGTCAAACAGGTACCGCATAAGACCCAATAAAATTGTATTATCATAACGGTATTTTTACAATACTTACCGACACTCTAAGGCTGGATAGAAACAGCAAAAAGCGTTTTTCACAGTACATGAGTGCCTAGTGTAAATTGTTGTTTCTTTTTCACCTGTCAAATGAGCAGCATCCTAATTTCTAAAATCAGGAAACATAAGCAATAGTTTAGTTTGATCAACTAAGCATGGTTTAGTGCTAAGACTCACAGATTTAAGAAAGCTTCCATAACTAAACATAGGCTTCAAAAAAACGAGTTTAAAATAGGAACACTTAGGCATTTCCTAACCATAAAATAAATTGCTATGAACACTGCCTCGCATTATTCGCTAAGTCGAGGCATCAACCTCAGTAGATGTGTTTTTGAGCGTCCCGTCCTTTTAATCATTAGAATGCTATCCTTGATCGCGTAAACTAAAGTCGTAGCCTACTTAAGAGCCTTTCAAAAGCCACACAACAAAATGGGCACATATTGGAACTCCAAAGATTCTCATACTCAAAGGTAGAATTCTAGCCGCGTCATTTGTGTTTAAGTGCTAATGATCAATCCATTGAGGTGAAGCTTACTGTCGATGATCTAATGGCATTAAAAGAAGCGTTTTCAGTATGAATATATAAATGATTGCATTATAAGGTGCCTGGGAAAGGCTATAATGATCTTTTGGCACTTAACAAAGAACAATTTATTGAGGCACTTTCGATAATCTTAAATCGAGGCTCCCGACAAGAGGTTGGTTGATCAGCTCATAATCAAGCTCTAGTATGACGAACTTTTCGACAAGATCGATGTGTCTGCTGAAGGTGTTGTTGACTGGGATAAAATAGCAACACATTTCGTGGTTGACTGTTATGAAAGGGATGAAAGAACCAGTTCAATTTCTATACCACAGTGGAAAGAATTAAAAATTCTTCACAGTCTTCACAAAGATAATGTACAGAAAATCACCAGGCTTAACAACTTTGAGCGGTATTTAAGTATAAGCAAGGCAACAGTTGTGTTTTCCATTACTAGTCCTTCGTTTAGGAAGGATTGATTGTTATGTATGGTATGGATATGCGTCCTCAAAAGTCAAACAAAATCTCAACTGATCTATGTAAGCAGCGTGATTTGTGGGTGTGCGATGCTGTCACTATGCCCAATGTCAGTAAGATGGCTTTCCTACTTTCAAGCAGAGAGATTCGTAAGTCTTCCTCATTATTTTATGCGGTAATGTAGTCTTCTCGACTCTTAATCTAAAACTGGAGTTGCAAACGCCTGTAAAACTTGTTAACTTGCCATCGGTTCCTGTCTGCGCTGACTACTGGCATAACTCAGAAAATCACAACGAGGCTTTTTTGCTTTGGGGAGATACCGATGGATATGTAAATATCATATTTTGGAGGTCAGCTCAAACTGTTCTCTTTGAACGTCCTCCCAATCTTCCTCAAGATAAGGAAGGTTCGCCTCGTCCACAATATGCTTTAAAACTTAAAAGAGATACTTCTCAGGATATGTCAATTCTGACCCCTAGAATCAACGATTGTGGTTCACTATTCAACCGTTTTGAAGAGCTCAGAAGCTGCAATCATTAAACGGTTCAAGGTTCACAACGATTGGGTACGTCAAGGTATGGAATGCGTAGATACATCTTCCTCTCCATTGTCCCTTTTCGCTCATATTTTAGTCACTATTGTATTATTCCTATTATTACAGTGCGATACATTCCACAGCTGGATTGTTTCATAAGCTGTGCGACCCAATGGAACAGTTCACTAGCGATCTCTTGGTTGGAAAGATTGGCTCCAGGTCCTGACGGAACTTTAGAAGAGTGAGTTTTGAAGGATTTGCTCATCTGCTTCGACTTAGCACTCTCATAACATATGTATTTCACTTTAGGAGTTTCATCCGAACTCTTACGCATGTGTAAGGAATTGTTTTTGGCACTATCTGCACTGCTATATCCAAATAGGTCTAGATTTCACATCCACCAAGGAATCAACGGATTTGACTACCACAGTGATTTATCACTAATCGCAACCGCAGGAATCAACTACCACATCAACTTGTGGAATCCTTACGTTACTTCGAAACCTAGTGGGGTGAGTCCACATGACACTCACCATTATATGCCCTTGTACATCCTTCTGAAGGTAGACTTTCAGGTCAATTTCGATGGGATACAAAAGGCTAGTCAAGTTTTAAATAAGACTTACAGATGGAAAAACATTGGTACAAACACCTGTTTATTTTGCGAAATCCCCTGTAGCTGGCATCATATTCTAACTTTAATGTCTCTAAGATGGAAATATTTGGAAATTCGTTGTCATCGACATCATCTGTTGACATTTGACCTCATTTGACAATCTCTTCGTTTATTCTCCAATGTGTACCTAGCTCACTCCCTTCAAACATTTTCTAGCTACTACGAGGTCATTCAGCTCCTGTAGTAGCTGTTCAATTTCAAACAAAACGACAACGACTTTTAAGTTTTTCCAAAGATAATGTCCTTCGTGTTTGGGACACCCAGTTGCAAGTCTGCATTCAAAAGTTGGCGGGAATTTATCCTAAAAGTCTCGATGGTAAGCAATAAACGTTGACGTTTTGGAGGATTTAGACCATCTTTAATTTCGTAAAATTTGAATCATTTAGCAACTAATACCCTAGCCATTTTGTCGACCAATAGTGTAGGTTGTATGGGATTTTTATTTTTACTCTCCAACATGTATTTTTCATCACTTGTTTAGATGCAGTCAGTACACTGCGAACACAGAGTGAGTTTACTAAATGTCCTTGCGTTACAAAACGTATTTGTCTGATTTATTTCCCTTTCTGAAACACCTTCAGTTTATTACAAAACTTACTTCCACGAGGAAAGAGGTAGACTATTTATAGCTTACAATGCAACACTCGGAGTTCTGCAAATGAAGCCGGAAATTACCGATCGTATCTTTACGCATAATGATCCAGTCGTTGGTGTCGTCTACAATCCCGTTTACAATCAGGCGAGCACTTTCCTAAAAGTCATGAAATTTACTGACATGATAATATTTCGTCCAGCACACTCTAGCTACATAAAGGATGCTTAAAGTGGGCGAACCTATATAATTGGTGTGAAGGTGAGTTTATAAAAGGGAGGAGTCGATATGACCTGAAGTCTACTGAAAACAATTTAAGTAGAAATGTGTTAAGATTAAAGATTTTCATTGTCAGACCTTTTCAACATCATTTAGATTACTTGTTATCTTTGCACTGTATCATATTTCCAGCTTCACTCTCAAAAGGCACGAATTTGTATTCGGATTGCATAGTAATAATCACCAAATAATTTAATGTCGCCTCCCAGATCGCACGAATATTGACGCTGACGGCCAACTTTTTAGATCGTCACAGTAGGCCAAGGTGGTAGGATGTCATACTGGCTAGTGGAAAGTGGACAACGCGTTAAAAATGTTAGCAACTGTCACGGCAACGCGGAAATAACGTGTCTTTCCCAGGATTCTACCTTTACGCGACTCTATACCGGCAGCACTAATGGCACTGTCAAGGTGAGAGACTCCCCAGTTCTAAAGGCACTTTGCCAGTTAAAAGTAAAGCGCTATGTTTGGCCTCCGCCTTTCGTTAACTAATTCGTTCATTTAGAGTGGTACCGCGCAGAGTTGCTGTTTTCCTTAGCATATCTTGATCAGGCGGACTACTTTTGTGCGGTTTCAGCTGTTTTGACAGGAAAACGGTATGTACAAAAATGGCCCTTATTCTTTGAACAGGTTTGGGACATGAATGGCAGCTGTCTACACACACTTGTTTGTCCACAGAATTCCTTCTTGGATATTGCCCAAGTAGTAATTCTCAAGAGAGCGGTAATTGTGATGGGCGGTTCGAAACACTTCATGATCTTCAAATTAACCAATTTTGGAGATCATTATGTCTTCCCTTCGGAGTGGAAGAGCCCTCCAGTGAGTCGATAAGACATTCAGTCTTCTGAATGCCTAAAGATGCAGTCAAAATATGCTTGCAATTATTTATCCACAAAAGTATCGCTTGCCCCTTTTACCCATTTAAGCTTACACTCACCTCAGTAAAGGTGCACAAAAATGCATAAGTCAGCAGTATTCGAGGAAATTATTTATCTCAGTAGAACAATCCTAAAGACAACCACTAATGCGGATCTTACAAACACTCCATGGATAATATTATTCTATGCCAAATGTAAGTCAGCATAAATCCGTCTTCTGGTCTCCTAGTTCTAGTACATACCAGTATAAGGTTTCACAACGAAACTTCATTTGACGCCCATCTGTTGACCTTTTGGGACCATTTTGAGTTTTAGCACCATGTCCTCCACCAGCACTTACCTACGTTTGTCTGTTCGATGTTTGTTACTTATAAACGCCATTTTTCTATGATCTCAGCAACACAAGGATGACGTGATGGCAGGATGCCCTTTACCTCCGCATAGTCTTATAACAGGTTCCTATGATGGAGAGCTGATCGTGTGGAACACCAATTCTGAACTCTTCTCTCGATGCATGAATCAGCGGTGCAGTTCACACACGGAGACGGTAGGCTAGTGCTTAGGAATTTTATGCGTTGAAATATAATACTCCCTTATTATAGTACTCAGAGATGTTGTTCAACATATCCCGTGTGTTCTTGTTGGGCGCCAGAACAGCGATCAAGTCGGGAAGCAGTAAAGGAGCGAATGTTGTTTCTTGTGGCGGAAGTGGTTATGTTCGTTTCTGGAATGCCTACGAGTGCATTCTTGTTGGCGAATTCGCGGCTCATCCCAAAGGTATGTTTTTTTGCAACTGCCGAATAAGTGCCTTCCGCTACGAGACTCCTAAGTACTCATGTGGCAAGTAAAAGAGCTTTGCCTTTTTGTGCTGATACTCATTTTGTTGCTGATCAATGTAGCTAGAAGTTGTTGAGTACATAGTCAATTTAATCATTATAGTGAGTAGATGATACTTCATTGCATCGATAAATAGATATGAATCAGGTAGTGATCTTGTCAAAAGGCTTGTTCTTGTATGACGCACCCTAAATTATATTAAAAAGCACATTAGATAGCTTATGGCTTCTTAATTTTTCCTCTTGCACTTCCTTAAGTAAGCAGTATTGTTATGGCTATCGACCCATCAAACGGAATGCTGGCGACAGCTGATGCGGAGGGAAACGTGAAGGTGTGGAACATCGCCACCTACTGTCTGGTAGAGGGTGAGGAGGAATGCATGTATGAACCCCGTACGTTTCAACAAACTCGGTTCTTTTTTGTGTCTTTCAATTTTCTCAAAATATGCCTGGGTTTGATCAAGTAAATGAAGAAATGAGTCATCAATAGTAAGTGAAAATAGACGGCAGCTCTTGGAGCGCCTTGCTTATTCATCTAGCTATATCATCTCATTTTTGACTGTCCTTCATCTCCCATCGTTCTGCCATTGTGTAGCGGCCACTATTCAGTCAGTGTGATAATTTTGCCAGTGGATAAAAATCGTCCTTTGTTTCTTGTACACTTGATCCCGAACACATCGATTGCGCCAAAGCTGTCCTAGTTAGTTTGCTATATGCTTCTCATTGTAATAGCTGGTCTGCTGGCTACCTTTAGTTGAGTTTGCTCATATATTCTGCCTTACAATGGAGGAATATTGCCTAATGCTACTGTTAATTGGTCCCGTTTTCAAATACTTTGATTCTTTTCTAACAGCACTAATTTCAAAGTGGACAGCTCATCTTGACTTGATCACTGATCTGGTGTTCTGTGTACGACCGGAGAAGCGCGCTGTTCTTGCTACCGCCAGTTCCGACTGTTCCGTTTGTCTCTGGAGCATCGAGGGTCAACGTCTTGGAATCTTTGGCCAAGTGAGCTTAACCATAATTTTTCCAAGCACTTTATTTAGTCTTCAGTAGAAAAATTTGATCAAGTTGGTTATGACTATTTGGTTGTTAGCCTAGCTTGACTAAGGCACGTTTTAGAGCCCCTCTCTAAGGACGTGTACTGAGATAATCCGATTTATCATTTCCTAACGCACTGACTGCTACCAAAACCAACTAAGTGGATTCAATGTTATCGCCTTGATCCTCTCCTCAATGCATTGTTACTGATAGGCTTCGTAGTCACCTTTCTAAATTCCGACTGCAAGGGATATCCTACTTATTTTTGATAGTAGAACGCACTGTAAAGTGGTAAAATGTTACGTGCCATGTTTATTTCAATTAAATAATTGGCAGGAAATAGTTTATGTCGGTTTTGTATTACTGAAACTAAGTCTCATTCAGTAGGGATCGGAAATCAAGATGTATGCTTACAGGCAACTCCAATTCAAAAGAATCTTCAAAACTAAAGTCTGCAAGTATGGTCATTTATTGAACCTTCCCATTTTTAAAGTCAAACGGATAAAATGGAAGGCTAAACATGATAATCCATGCCGTCGCCAAATAATTTCATCGCATTTTTGTTACTCTGGGCAGACCGAGCGGTGGAAACTCGACATCTACCAGAGGGATCAGACGACTGGATCCGTCTTCAGTCAGGAGAGTAAATCCCAATTCTCAGTTGAGAAAGAGAGCGAAGAAGACTCCAAAAAGACCCCCTCTGAATCCGATGATTTCGATGTGCGTTGGTTCATCCTCTGTTTGCTAATTCAATTGGGGATCAATTTCTCGTAATCTGATTCCTGCCTTTTCAGCCATTTGCTGGTCTACCAGGAAAGAAATTCAACTTTGGAATTAAAGATATTTTGGGTGACGGAAAGATTGAATCTGAGAGCGATCTGGTTCGCATAAGAAACAACCTTGTTGTTTGGGATAAAACCTGCCTTGGTAGGCCGTTAACGTCCTATATAACTCTGCATCCACGTTGAATCTTATTCATGATAGAGACCATAGATTTGGGGATTCATTGACACCATTCTTTAAAATACAGGTGAAGACTACCGAAAGATACGGATGGCCAAACCCATGCGTCAACAGCCTAGGAGCCTGGTTGAGATGCCCTTCCTCTATGCTGACAAAGTGGGACGACCGAATTACGGGCCATACTACGTGCGTTATGCATCGAACCCTTTCAAAAGAATGCGCAAAATCTGTGGAAATGTGTTCGAGACTCTATTTTACCTTAAAGAATTGATGCAAAGTTGCTGTGTGATTCTTTTACATTGAATGACCTCTAGAATTGATCTCAAAATTTCTTATTTACATGAGTGACAAACCTTTTTTTCTCTTTTCCCACTCCAGTCAGTAGGGCTTAGGCCGCTGGTGAAACAAAAGGACTCACAAATGCCAGATTTTATCATCAATCCAGTAAAATACTTTGCAAACAGAGAAGACTATACCGGTACCAGTGCTCTTTACTCTCACAGCAAGCTACCCATGGTTGAAAGCTGTAAGTCAGTGCCATATTGGCTTTAACACTGGAGTCTCTAAGGCTCCCCTAAAGACGTTCCGTATAAACAGATACTCAGATTTTGTCTGACTCTTTAATATGAGCACTACGGCCATACATTGTACTTGTCCAATTTGACTGCCTCTGAAAAGCACTAGCAATAGAGGATAAAATTTTGAGTCGTTAACAAAATTGAACAGAATATGGGATTGTTTAGTTGCAAAAAGGAAGTCTACTCCTTATTTTGCATTTTTTAGATGTGTACAACCAGATGAACGCCAGCTCCTCTATTAGTAAGTGTGTTTTAATGAACCTGAGCAGTCTTGTGACTCCCCATAAATAACATCTTCTTGCAGTTCCGAAAAAGCAGTTTACTGAAAAAGACCTCTTCCCCAAACACCTCCTGGAATTTGATGAACAACTTCATCGGATCGATCAATATGCCCCTAGAGCTGTGAGTTAAAGTCCGGTGGTAGCCTTGAATTTTCCAGCTTAGGAAGGATTTGCTGTGTCGCTTACATGCAGAAGGTATTTGGGATACAATGCTCCACACCTTGGGCTCCGAGTGTTGAAGAATGTAGACAGACGTGTGTCTGTTTGTATATTTGCTCCTATTCTTGTCTCTACTGTAGCCCATATGGCTCTTTGGAGCATCGTGTATGAATTGCTAAATAGGAGATATGAATAGGTAGTGTCCGTTTATCAGTGGATCGAATTCGCTTCGATGATTGCTTAATCTGAGGCGTGCGTGAGGAGAGGGGGGGGGGTTGGGGAGAGCTTCGCATTATGCCATTTAACTTGCATCAGGCGGTTTGTACCTCTTTTGGAGGGGAGATTTTTAAGTAATATCCAAAAACCTCCCCTTTAGAGAGTCTTGTCGGTGGAGCACAAACCGGAGAAGGAGTCACCGGAAAGAGGTAACGCTTGGAGATGGACTACTGCAAAACGAAATTCCCTACAGAAGATTCCGAAGAACGCCTAAAAGGAACCTCTTTAAAGACCCACTTTCTTGTAGGAAGAAGTTAAATCGCATCATAATGTGTCTCCATCTTTCATGGCTGCGATGGTTGGGAGGCTTACTCAGAACGGTCTTTAAGTCAGGCCGCGCCTATCAATCGTGCTGGGCATAGGTCTTTGAATGCGAGGGGATCGTCAATGCCAATATGGTAGCGAATAGGATGTGTAGAGACTTAGAGATGCATACGAGTAAAGAGGTTTCCTTGATGCTTATCTAGAGTTGTTGAAAGGCTGCCAGCCCATCAGAGTCAAGGGTGCACGCAGGTGTCCTTCATGACCTCTCTACATCGGCCTATGCATATGACATCTCTAAATGCAATAAGTAATCTTTACTTTCCATTCATTGACACAGATTTGATAGCGTCTCTTTTTCAGACTCTTTTCTTATGGTGAGAAATTTAAAGGAGGATGGGTGTGTTACTGTTTAATTATTAACGTTATGGTAGACTAGTTCGAATGGAGGAGTTGGTGGATCGTAGGACGCAAGCATGAAAAGGTGGTAGCCAAGACCAGCCATCTAGTCGGAATCTTTTCAACTTCTATCAAGTTGCCTCATTTAGATCGCTAAACAGTAGGAGCTGAATTTTTCTTGGCGCATAAGTGAGCAGCAGGTAGCGGTGATTTGATTGGTCCATTCTGCTCGACTTGGCTCTCTCCGCAAACGCTCTTACCTTGAAGTCCATGGGTAAGAGGGAAATCAGGACTAAAAAGTTCACTTTGTTTCACGCTTCTCAATGGGTAGAGTCTGTCTTCCTCCCCTCCTCCTCCCCTTCCTCCTCATGTTGCTAATGCTTGTAGTGATTCATTCGAATACCAGTGAATGCCTCTACTCTGGTCGAGGTGAGGTACTTCGCCATTCTTCGATCTCTCGCCACCTAGCCGGTGCTCCAATTTCGGATCAGGATCTGCTTGTCCGGTACATATTTGAAGACAGACAGTATGATCCACTGGCACTACCAATTCTGACGAGAAATGAAACTGTCCAAGTTAAAGTTGGTCTTGCAATGATCCAAATCGTACAGTTGGTAAGCTCATCACAGGGTTGTTGCCTTTATTACTGCTCCAATAGGGGAAAAACCTTTTCTAGGTTTACATAAGTTTCTGCTCTGAGGTTAACATCCCACATTCTGGTGTCCATACCTCTTGTTCTAGAATTTAAATAGACGTATGTCACATTAAGGAAGACGCCACATCATTGAGCACAAATTGTCACTCCAAAGTAGTTTTGCTGTGAGGACGGTGAAACAGGTTGCCCATAGTCATGCCAGTTAGGAGAGGAGAGCAATGCAAGCCATTCTAAAAGTGGATGCCATTCGCACGAAATGTATTTACACTGGCTTTAGGATTTGTAGTTGGAAATTGCCTGTTCACTGCAACAGATGAATTAGTTATGCTGATTTTTCCCAACGACTTTCTCATTCTCTACGCTTCACTTTACAAATGTGCAATAAATTTTTAACTAAGGTAGTCCCCTTTTATGGGTTTGTTGGTTCCCGCTTTTCCTCCTTCTTGATTGTATCTTCTACACTATCCCTCATTCCTGTTAATTTTAAGATGCTAAACCATGGAAAGCCTCAGTTGGACTTGCTGAAAATTCTCATCACCCTCCTTTAACACAAAAAAATGCTTTGAATTCTGTTGCCAACCCTTTTCCTTGTGCTTTATAATTTATTGTTTGCCATGAGCGAGCAGTATTTAATTAGGAAACCACTAATGACGGGTCCTAAGTTTGTCCTCAAGTTTTTTACCTTAGGAGTTGAAATCACTTTTTTCTTCAAGAACAATAACACAGTCAGAAATCTCCTCGCTTTTAACTCACCTGATGACATGCATCAACATCTCCAAGGGGATCTGGTGACAAAGGGTGTTTGCGTTATCTTCCACTCCACTTCATTTTAATCGAATGAGTGCCAATTTTTACCTTATCACTACATGGTAGATGATTCAATTTCATGCAACACCCACCGATTGTTTTTTCGTTCCTTCCGGGTAGGATGAAAAATACCAACGACTGAAGAGCAACGTCTGGTTAACTATGGTAAGTCGGTCCATGAGGAAGAATGGTATACTTGTTTATTTTTTTTTTTTCCAAGTCATGGTACGACTACAGAATTGCCTGGAATCCCAGTGAATTTGCTGACATCAAGTCCATCAACATAGCCGCCCACAAACTCTGGAAGCCGGATATTGTTGTAATGAACAAGTAAGGCTAGATGAGATAATTGCTTGCTTACCCTCTCCATCTTCTCGCTCGCACAGTGTTGATGGTGAATTTGAGGCGGTTTGGAAGCCAAACACCATTCTTCACAGTGATGGACGTGTACTTTGGATACCACCTGCCATTTTCAAAACCGCCTGTGAAATTGATGTGCGATACTTCCCATTTGATCAACAAACCTGTCACATGGATCTTGGAAGTTGGACTTATACTAACAAAGAGGTAGTGCTTGAAAAAAAAAAGTCAAATTTGTTGCAAAACGCATAAGCCCTAGGCCTTTGGACAGTTTTATATTTCGCATGTTTGAACACGATAGGTTGAACTTCAATTCTACGTTAATCAGACAAACATTGACCTCTCCGACTACGTGAAGAGCGGCATGTGGGACTTTGTAGAAGGACCAGGTCACTTACACTTGGATGAACCCTTTCACTACGACGACCGTTTTGAAGTCTCTTCCACTCATCGCCGTGGCAGCGTTTCCAATCGTCCCACCACCGCTCGTCTGACCTTTAAAATTGTGCTTCGTCGAAAACCCCTCTTTTACATCACCAACATCATCATTCCCTGCGTATTAATTTCCATACTGGGTGTTTGTGTTTTCTGTTTGCCCGCAGACGCAGGAGAAAAGATAACTCTTTCAATCAGTATTTTGGTGACCCTTGTAGTTTACATGATTCTAGTGAGTAAGATACTACCTGCAGGTCCAAAAAGCATTCCCCTACTGTCACAATTTCTACTCTTCACATTTGCAATGACCTTTTTGGCACTGTGCATCACAGCTGCGGTGATAATTAATCTGAATCATTGCAACCCGAAAAGTCACCCCACTGTTCCTCTGTGGGTTCAACGCAGCTGCATGGATTGGCTGTCGCCTGTTCTCTGTTTGCAAAGGTTCGACGAAATACGAATTAGGTATTTACGCCACCCATTGCCACAATAACCATCGACTATGTTTGCCTTATCAAGCCCATCAAGATCGACAGGAGAAGTTCAGATGGAGAACGAGAGTGAATCGGAGACAAGTGCCTTGGAGGATGAATCTACTCCGCAAGTTTGTAGAAGTCGACAACAAAGTGGAATAGCCGTAAGCCGATCGTTTGGCTCTCCTGTTAAGACAAAAAATGATTGGACAAAAAGGTCAGTTATAACTTATTACTAGTCATTCTTGAGAGGTATAGAGTCTGATCCCATTAGGAGTCGAACTACCAATTCTGTCAGCCTAGCTACGCTTACGAGAATAGGTAACAATACCGGACCCCAAAATGGTCTCTCAAATGGACAAGAGAATAGAAATCGTTTCCGTATAAATATCTATTAATACATTTGAGGAAATGTTTGATGTCCACTCACGTTGTTTGAACAAGACTTCGAGGTGTCACATCAAAACCGAAAAACATCAACTACTGCAACTTTAATCAACAATCACATTAACTGATAGTCTTCAATAGAGCTGCCAGAAGTTTCGAAAAAAAGGTTTCGTTTTAGAGTATGCCAAACTGCACAGTGTGCAACCGATTTGGATCTGAAGATCTGCTAGTGGACGTCAACAGAAGCCTAAACACCATTATCAAGAGCGTGAAGCGTATTACAAAGCACGTAATGGCCGAAGAAAGGGAAAAGCAGGTATGTTTCAATGCTGTACAAGCGTTTTCCTAATTACAACCAGATGAGAATGCTCCTTCACTCATTCCTAGGTGCGGGAGAATTGGAAACACGTAACGTCAGCAATCGACCGAGTTCAACTAATTATTTTTACATGCGTGACCGTCTCTGGGACGCTTATAATCCTCTTCAGTGCGCCATACATTTTCGCAGAAATCGACCAGGCATCCATCATCAGGAAATTTTCCTATAACAGGAGGGACTTGCAGTGAACCAAAGGCGATGTAACAATCCAGAAGCTGAGAAATCACACTTTATTAAAAGTATACAACATGAGGTACCCATGGTAAAGATCATTTTTGTTTGAGGAGTGATTAGTAATTTCGCTTCTTTTTTGCTGCAACGGTAATTGGCGCAGTGGCAGATGATGAGTAGACCTGTTGGGACATTCGATTCAAGCAGTAGCAACATGCGCATGAAGTCAAAAAGCTAGGAAAGAAGAAAGCAAGTACAACTAGATATGCCACCGACTTTGATGAAATATCGAAAAACAAAGATTCTACCACGTTAGCCGTTACATTCCGGAATGGGGCAAAATATGACGATGCAGATAGGCAATGGGAGGTTAAGAGCTCGCTAACGTACGAGGACACAATTTTCTTAAGGGTAGAATATTGTACTTGATCGCCAGAAATCAATTTGTGGTGAGACTCTTTATACCACCTATTACTAGGCACAATACGCTGTTGAATACGTACCAAACTGTTCCGCAAATTCGATGAACCGTTCCGACGGCGAAGGAGGTTACAACAATACAAAAGAGAACTAAGGTCGGCATAATTATCAAAAGAGGTCAATACCTTCAGGAAATAATTGGGCGTAAAAGTCGTCACCAAAGATTAAATTCTCAAGGTTGTTAAGTGCCTAGGAATCTATAAACTTAAAACCAGATATTACAGTCAGGAGTATGACAAATAACATTCCTCCATAAATACCAACAAAAATACAGACAATCGGTATGTCCACGATAAACGGCTTGATTAGGTGCAAACTTGAGACTGAAATTATAAAAGTCAGAGATGCAACAAGACATGAGAATTTCGTGTCGAGGGCCATGGTTCTACGCAAAATGGAATATGCACACGAAATGGGAACAGGTTCCAGCGCGTGATTAGTCCAAGAATCAAGCTGCCAGTGCAACAATGTAGGCATGAGCAGAAGCATTATTTTTTCGAAGTCAATGATAATAGGAAAAGGAAACCGTAAAGGGAAAATATATGCAACTCTTAAATTATTCATCAACAAAATGCCACAGATAACAATATTAGGTCAAACTTCTAATGGCCAGAATTCATCAAGGCGAGGGGCAGGAAAATAACAACAAAGTTAAACTTTCACAGATTTAGTAACGCAACGAATATGAGTCTTTTGTGCGGTTAATGGAACTTTAAGGTATTAAACTTTATTAGCAACTTCATTTTTACAATTATTTGGATCTACTGTAGTCAAAAATCTTTAGGCTATGGAAATATTATGACCTCTATAGTAGTCCTGATGTCATGCTCACTGCTTCAGTTTGTGTGTGTAGGCAGCATGTTGTCAGTCAAGTATTTGTGTATGGGTTACTACACTAATGCAACTGTGGGTTGCAGGGTCATCTGCAACAAGTTTCGAATTCCGGTTCCACTTTGACCTCAATTCCTCTTGGGATGTTTTTTTGTCCATCCCTCGTTTTAACTTTCCCAAAACCAAATTATGCTTCTGCGTTTTTACTCTTTTTGCAAAGACGACACTTGGGCAATTCAATTCCACCAGTATCAACGAAAGTGCTTGCAGAAGTTAGCACTTGTCGCATGAATTACCGTGAAGGCTTAGAAATTGTTTATGGGATTCAACCATCACTGGCAGCTTTAAGTGCCAAGCAAAGGGGCATCGTGCGTGCATTTGTCAGGGATGAACTTCTTCAAATTGCTCCTGAGGTCCTGCTCGAAAAGAATCCTTGGCTTTTGGCCACCATTAAGCTCGCATCTGCAATTGGCATTAAGTCCGTTTCTCGTGAATATCTCACAGATCTCACTAATGGTCGTTCTAACCAAGGCATCGCCATCAAATGCACTCCTTTGCCTATGCCGAGTCTCCATGGTGTCCCAGCTCGTTCTATCCTACACTTCAGTCACTGTGCGTATAATCGATCCAAGCCTAGCTCTTGTTGTGGCTCATCATCTATTGTCCTTTTTCTTGATCAGATACAAGACGTCATGAACTTGGGTAGCATCTTACGGTCTGCCGTCTTCTTCGGCATCCCAACGGTGCTCATATCCGCCTTTTTTTCTGCAACGCCATCTCCTCTCATCAGTAAACTTAGTTCTGGTGCAATGGAATTTCTCCGTTTCTTTCGTGTTACAAACCCGTCTTCCACTTTGAAGCAGCTCTCAGATGCTGGATTTATTATAGTTGGCACGGCTGGGATGCAATCGAATTCTGTCGAGAACTTCAATTACTCTCCACCGCTGGAGTTGTCTTTGGTCAAACCCGATATGGTGTGTGCAAATCTTATCGATGTGTAAACCTCAAGGAAAACGCTTTATTATATTTGTCAAGTCCTTTTGTAGGTTGGTGCTTCAGAAGACGGGGCTGCTAAGCCTCTTGTATTGGCGTTTGGTTCGGAGGCTCGTGGCTTGTCGGATTGTGTTCTATCAGCCTGTAACCTCATTGTTAGAATTCCTGGATTGATTGATGGCAAGGGGGAGCATTTGAGCGCACCTTCAATTGTTTCGCCCCTTCCCACTTCTCTCAATGTGGCAGCAGCTACCGCGATTCTGCTGTATCAGATTCAAAAGCTTCGTTCATAGATACCTGCTTGTCTGTAACGCCGTGCTGGAAAATATTTTCACTGAAGTAAACTGCTTTTAATATCGTATTTTCTCTTGACCGTTTAAGTTTGGTAGCGGCTTAGGTTTTTTGAATTTGTTTCATTTTGGGTTGGAACTGTTCCTTTTGATAATTGTTGCTGTGAGTCTGATCTGCTTGTTCAAGTTGTATACATATTTGCATTTCCGTTGTAAATACTTTAGTTTTTAGCTAGTTTTTGGCTATAGGGAAGAATATTATCTGGGATACGAGCCACTGAAGCAGGAGAGGGGGTGTGTAAAATGTTGAAAAAGTAGGGTTTAGAATCTGCTTGCACTTCTTTTGACACTATCTTTTGTCATCCACTCATTGGCATCATTCTGCGTTACGGCACTTCCGTTAACTATGCCTTGTCAGGATCTCAACGGCTTAAATTCAATGGTGAAGGCTCCTGAAGGCACCATTTTTCCGTCTTCTTTACATAAACGGGAATCTAAACATACACAATGTCACTCATTCCCTCATGAAATCACAGAATTGAGTTACTTCAACGGTGTTGGTGACCCTTCCTCATCCAGTGACTCCTTTCGTCGGTTTAACGGCGCCGGACTCGGGTCAGATCCCAGTCATAAGTAATCAACTGACTTCTTATTGGTCATCTCTGTATTTTCGTACTTTAATGAGCCCTTCAGGGATTTCATTGCGAACTTATATAACGATTTAATTAATCAGAGCGTGAAAAGAACTTCATATTCTTGATTTTTTTACTATTTTCTTAAAAGACAATTAACTATGAAATTCGTGCTAACCTAGTAACTGTTCCACGAACTGTCCCCACTCGGAGTGGTGCCTTTCCTTGGAGAAGGAGCTCGTTAAAGTCAGGCAGAATCTTACAAAAGCGAAAATGATCAACGTTTCAGTAAGCATTGAACTAGCTAAACCTCGCATTTTGGTTAATGCTGCTAGAATTGCTGGAAACAGTTCGCGGATCACGTCTCCTCAAGGAAAGTGGACCCATCATCAGCTTTCTATGGATGTAGCCTCATGTATAGCAACATTTAATGGTGCTTCTAACACATTGTAATTTGGTGGAAATACTTTTACTTTGTTTAAAGCCCGACCTTTAGTACTTATTAGTCGCATCGTATCATTTTAAATGAGAAATAGACGCTGCGGCGTTAAGTCTTGGTGATTGTCTCTTTGTGATAGTCAGATCAAAAGATGATAGAGAACGAGGCCCTTAAGGATGAAATCCGTCTGCTTCGAGTGCGGTTGGAGGGCGTGGAGAACACCCTTCAGGTGCAGAAAAAAACCACGGCCTCAGTGCACAAAAGGTCTTCACATCGGGATGGCGATGCTACTGAGTAGGTTTAGTAATAACATGATCCCTTTATTCCTCAGGTCTTGTTCAACGCGTAATAGGTTGCTGCAAGCTTGGCGATACCAGGTAATTCGGCTTTTAATGGAACGGGTGGCACAAGAAGAGGTTTTTGCCAGGGCAAAGAAGGATACAGATGATCTGCTCAACACTCAGAAGGAGCAGATAACGGAGCTGGAGACACTAAACCAGGCTCTTAATTGTAAACTCGAGGCACAATCCCCTGTCTTGAACTCAAATTTTAGGAAGGTTGAGGTAGGCAGTGCTGTGTCATCCTCCTCTTTTGGCACTCGAGCAATATCTTACTTATAATAGCAGCAGCGTGAATTTTGATAGCTGGATAGACTTGAAACCTTGCCTTCAAGTCCAAGAAAATGGAATCTACATGGAACTTACTTATAAAGGTTCAGAGGTTTTAGCTTAATAGTTATGGAAAGGACACGTAGGGAATGGTAGCTGGCTTCTACCAAGATCTGACTCGTTAGTCTCTGTTTGGTTTATCGCATGGTTTCAGTGTCATGAATTGAGGTGATGAGTTGAACTAGCATCATGAAGGAAGTGGTGTAGATCTGTCTGGTGTTCCGCATGCCGACTGTGTTCGATGTTATCAAAGTCGATCACGTCACAGTATCAGTCAATCCACAGAACTTAAAATTAAGAGTTTGGTTAAAGGCAGATCTTTGTTAATGACTTTCCTCTTCACCCTCGGAGCCGTCACACTTCTTCTGTTTAATCCGATATCAATGTTTTGCCTCATCCTTGCGGATAAAACCACGAAGGTAGAATATCATAGGGTGTAGGTATTGTCCTTGACCTACATATAACAGCTAGAATATGGAGCGCTAGAACTACCAATGTCGTTGCTTAATTTGCCTAAGGTCTCATTCCTCCAACTGCGTGTAGGACTACTCCAAAGAAATCCAGACTTCTAACAACTCAAACACCTGTTTGAATGAATGCACAAAGTCAGCACTGACCCGGCTTCATGCTGATCTAATTGCCATGAACGAGCAGTGGAATCGCGTTTTTACGGACGATGGGAACACTGACTCCTCGCCATTAATGCAACGTCTTCGACGACTAGAAAGGCGAATACAGTATGTGAGCGGACGTCTTCCTATGGTTCGAGTGCTCCTTTCTCAAAAGCGAGTAGAGCGCATGAGTTGTGGAGTACAAGTGTATGGCACCCTTCGTCTCCCTCCTATCAACGCTGCTCTTCCCACTAACGTGGAGGACTTAAAAGAGTGCGTTTTATATCATTTGGTGAAGTCCTCCCTGTAGGATGGTTTTGGCTGCTCAGAATGAACTAGCTCTGGCTATTGCTGATCGAGATCTCATTGCAAAGCGCCTGATTATGGACGCGCAAGACAGCGATGAAAAGCTGAGTGATCTCAGACGAACACGTACATGCTTATCCATGCTGGATTTTAAAAGTGTTTCGTCATAATTGATGCTACCTGCAAACCATTTTAGATTCTCATGAGATCTCCCTCTTGAAACGCAGACTGGAAGAGGCTGAGAAATCTTTGGGTGAAAAGACTCTGGTAGATGAGTGAATCGTAGCTTATTCTTGGTGAATTAGAGAGCTACAACAACTCCTCTTTCCTGTAGGATTTGGAGAGGGCAAAAGAAAGAGTGTCAGCTCTGGAGGCCGAGCACAAACGGTTTGTGACTGAGATTACGGAGGAAAAAGTTAAGCTCGAGACCGAGTTGACCGACACAAAGAGTGACCTAACCAAAGCCCTCATTTCTGTCCGTCGCGCTGAACGAAAAGCAATGCAGGCCACCAGTGAAAAGGAGGCACAGGTTTGATCAACAGTCTTAAGCATCTCCATCATTGTCATATTCCCGGAAGACATAATGTTTTGAATCCAGAACACTGCGATCTTGCCTACCTTTCCAACTAGGCGGCTAACTTACGATTCTTCTCTGCCATCTACCAAACAGATATCAGCTCTAGAGTTGGAGTACAGTGAAAAGATGGCAAAACTGAAGAAGGCCCAATGCGAAGCATCACGTGAGTCCCTATTTCGACCTCCATTGCCACCATTGAACCGACCGGCCTACTTGACACCCGGCGAGGCGTTTATTCATCACGATCTACCAATACACTTCGCACTGGAGAACGGTGAGAAAAAGGCCATCAGCTGTCACAAAACGATAAAACCAACGAAACATGAAGGATCAGTTTTGGAGAGTCTTCCTGGTGATCAACTAGGTAGGCTTCCTAATAAAATTACTCCCTTTCTCAATGTCACTGTGGTCAAAACTAGAAATGCGGAAGTTGGAACGAATAGTGAAACAAAAAAAGCCTCCCTATGGGATAGGTTGGTGACTTTGCTTACACGATAGGAACACTAGCACACATCTGTTAGCAAAAAGTGATCACGCCTTCTCGTAATTTGGAGAAGAGGTTCAAATGCAGTGTTGCCAAAAGGTAAATAGCTTCCTTTTGACTTTAGAATCTATCCGTGAGACTCTGAACAAGTTGGCCAATCTTGCAAAGCAGCTGGAACAGCAATGAGCACAGATAAATTGACTGCAACGCTTTAGTTTCGCTTTCATCCCTTCTACACATTCGGTGTCACATTATTTTTGTTAGTTTTAATACCATATCTCATCCATTTTTGGTTGGCTAGGGAAGAAGCTTTCTAAATCGCAGCTGCCAATCAACTAATCAACCATTCACTCATCACCTCTTTGGGAGAGATGGAAGGAATAGCAAGGGTTCGGATTAAACTACTAGGTGAAAAGGCAGCAACTACTATGAAACATTTTCCTTATCTCATAACCTCAATAAACACCTTTCAACGTTGCGATCGCGAGTGTGAGCGTCGACTTCTTGTAGAAGCCTGGGAACCTTGCCTAGAGAAATCCACATTTGTGTTATGCTTGGAAGTGTTGCACATCGAGGCCTTGCAGTGAACAAGTTGATCAAGAAGACTTGAGAAAAATAGAGCCACGATAATAGGGCAGCTAGCGCCTATTATACCCATGTAGAAGAGGAATGATGCCTCTGTTCTCAGGGGAATGTATCCAAGGAGACATTTGAAGAAAGGGGCTATGAAGGAGACGCATCTCTGCCAATAGTAGCAGACAATAATACACATGATGCAGGGAAAGATGACACGTTTAACAGTTATAGGTGGAGGCTTCACGTTGCGAACTGTCAAGGGCCGAAAGCTTAAGGCGCCAGCTAAACCTAAAATTGAAAACAAAAGGACCAGTCAAAATGCTGGCTGCAAGTAGTAGCTATGGCACTATTAAACGAACTATCTCCACCATCTCGAAAAAAGAAAAAATCATGTTTCCTAAACCGATGACCATTTCTCACCAACTTTACGGATCGCATCAATCACTGCTTAATATTGATTGAACAAATAAATTTGCAGTATCGCCTGTGTCAATCGTACTAAGGCAGTTAGCCAATCTCTGACCCAATACTAATGAGTATCCTGTAAAAAATTGGTTGAATAGGAAACACTAGATGTTGCTGTGGATTGGGTGAACAGCTAACCAATTTTTTTTCCCCATACACCATACTTTTGTGAATTATTTGGCAAATAATCAGGGTTGTACAACAAACGCATTAAGAGAAAAGTATGATAAGTAGGATTCGTGAAGCGCGATCTCATTCCTGAGTTGATAATATAGGATACACTTTAACAAGTTTTCGTCGATGATCTTCCATCCTGTTTCAAACAAAATGAAAAGGGAATTAGAAACAGTTTGTAGATTCCAACAGACCAAATAGTGCTCCAGTGATACGAGCGTAAGATGCCTCAACAGAGGTGGAGGAGTGCACCCATTGGTGGTGATCGCAATAGATCCGAGCCATTGAGAGGCTCCTATCCACATCGACACCCAGCAGGTTCAGCGTGGCACCAATCGCTTCACCCAGAACAAAGCTGAGTGTACCAATGATAGTAAGTCTCAACGGAGATGTCAGCACAGAGGACCGTAAATCAGCAGATGTGGCCGGGGTAGAAGCACACTCCAAAGTGTATCGCATCATCCATTGATAGAAAGCTTGACCAATCAAACCACCTTCGAGGGCAGAGCGATATCAGCGTCAAAGCATTCGTTGAAAGTTACATAAGAGTGTTTTTGAACGTTTCCATGATCAAAAAATGGCACGTTAGAGATGAAAGCAGACAGTACGATTATTGGATAATAAACTAAATCATACTAAAAAAAACTTGCCTGCTACTGAGCCCTCAATGACTTGATGAGGAAAATGAGTCGCTACGTAAAGGCGACTCAGCCCGACAATAATTGTACACGTAATGAGTAGAGTGAACAAGACATTGCCAAGCCTGTACGCAGAATACTGAGTTGACTATGTACAGCAAAAAAGATAGACTCACAGCGCAAAAAATACTCACTTCTTATGCCTGCGCCTAAAGTAAAGGACCAGTGGCAACCAACCCGCAACGAAGACCATACAATGGCCAGAGGGACTTCCGGGACCAGTCTCACAGGTAATGCTGAACTGCTTTAGTACCAAATTTGCACTTTTGTGCAATTTAACCCACCAAAATGGACGCTCGCCACAAATTATCCTGGTTTTAAAACAAAAATATAGTTGCTTGACAAATTACAAACACAATGTATCAAGAGCATTCACTTCTCAACACAAGCAAAGACATGGAAAGGTGAATAGAACGTACCATTTTAATGCACAATTGAGCCACTCAGAAAAATTTATCGATAAAAGAGTGGCAGAACCGAGAATAGGATGAATGAGAAAGGTCAGAGGAAATGCAAGAAGATTTACTGTGGATGGAGCACTCAAATGACTGGCAAAAATAAACACCTCAGAAGGTAGCTGAAGAATAAATAGTACAATAAATTGCGATGTACTATTAATAGGCATGTATTTGCGAAAATCAAAGCTTCTCACAAGGAAAAGTACTGCACAAATGAGTTTTCATCCAAGAGATGATTCGGTGTGGACAAAAAGGTAAAATAATGCCCAAGTTTCATGTGTAGGATAGGCACTGCATTTAAGTACTTCTTCATTAGACAAAAAAAAATAGGAACAATGCGAAAACTACGGCCTACATCGGAAAATGGATTAAGAGACTTGGTTGGTGCCATTACATGCAAATATTAAGGCAATATTTCGACCTATATTTTACGAGATCTAGGTATCAATCTAATCAAAGTGGCAGTACAATTACATAGATTTCCTGAATCCTCTCTACAGCTCTTGCACCATAGAGATAGAGGCTCTCCATTAGCAAATAGAGCACGCGAGCCCGAAGCGTCGCAATGTCACACCGGACAACAACCAAGTGAAAGTACAAGTAACAATGACCTAAAATTGATTCCAATTGGAAACGTAAAACGCGTTTTAAATTATATAGAATAGAAAACATAGGACCGCAAGATGTTGGAGATATGGAAATAAAAGATGCAAAAATCTACCGGGACGACATTCAGCAAACATGGTCCACAACTAGGAACTAATAATAATATAGATAAATTATTGCAAAAGATGTTTCTCTCAATGCTCTAGATCTCTCGCTGTTGTTGAAAATCGTGTGAAGCAAGGTTATGGGTATTAATACTTCATTGAAATTGATGTGTCGATGGCCAAAGACTCTACGATCAGCACATCAAATAATGTCGACATCCACAACAAATAATGTGTGCTTAAGTACACCTTAGAGGTGGCAGATGGAGAATGCAACACAAACCGTGTGTAGGACCTGCCTCCATACTCTCATACTCTTCATACTTCTGAGAGGGTTGAGTGACGAAAGTTTAGTAGGTACCAAATATAGAAAAATAAATGAGACCCGAGCCGATGAGACAGAATGTAGCGTCCCGAGACTTCTCATAGGGTGGAAGAAGGCAGTAAGTGGTGTTGGATGCATATATTCCGACAAATACAGAGCAAGTAGACTGGAACATGGCCCGAAGGCCAGTCCCGAGTGCAAGGGCCAGACAAATCCTAAAGTGACCGCCGAACCTGAGATAATCGCATGAACAAAGCATTGCACCGGAAGTCACTGTCACCTTGAGAACGCCCCTTCACGCCCCTCACAAACAGAGCCGTACTCGAATCACATACTCCGTCTCACTCCTATGATGTAGCGACCCGAAACCTCCCGACCCACATAAGAAGTCAGTAAGTGCAGCTGAATACATGTACTCCAAAGACGGGACAAATGGGACTGGACATAACACGAAAGCCAGCCCACGTAAACAAGGGCCCCACAAATCCTAAAGTGACCGCCAGACGCCATAAACAAAGCACTACACTGTCCCTCCACTTTTGAGCGACGTCCTCGGCGCTCACCTTGGTAACCTTCCGCGCCAGCCATCACAACATATTCAGCACTACAAGAAAACACCCACGAGCCAACCGCACCAGTCGACAGATAGCATCAGACTGAGAAACCGTACCTGGTCTCTGCAGCTCCGATCTAAACGTATATGTTACTGGGAAAACGGGATGAGCCAATGTCCCGTAGGTAAGGAGAACCGTAGTCTCATTTCCGACACCCAAACACGAATTTCATGTGGGAAATTCCGAAACGACACTTTCCCAGGTGATTCACGGCGGTGTCGCTTCAGTCGTCAATAGCTTGTCTGTGGAACACGGAAATAAGGTGAAACTAGATACAGATGTCCGTCAAAATCCTTCCGATGTGAAGGATTCGAAAAGCCTCCATCAATTCACATCCCTTTTCGCTTGTATCTTCATCCATTGCACTTCGATAGAGTCCGACTTCCTTCTACGCATGTATAGCTCATGACTGCCGGTGCACAATGCTAAAATGCGCTTATTAATCTCGGATTTTCCCACTATGGAGTAAAATTCCTTTGCAGTCGTCCGTTAGTTGGATTGTAAACTTTTTGTCGTGAAAAGAGAGGTTCCGGATTCCCAGCCAAGAGCACCAGATTTTGCAGACCAAAAGATTTTCAGGCTTAAAGGTACTCAAACCCAGATCATTAACACCAAGAACAAGCGACACACATCTCCAGATCCTGTGCGTTTTGTAAGTACCAAGTAATTGCATCATCCGATCGAAAGAATGCTCGTCGGCTTGTTCTTACTGTTCTCTTCCGGAAAGCAGTCGATTACTTAACAAAGTTTAGCAATACAGATGTAGGATGCCAGTAAGACAGGAGTGTCTGTTACAAAATAGATTTTCCCGGACTCTATGTCGCTTTTAACAAGCGACCGACAAAGAACAAGCCGCAAAGACACAAATAGACTGGACCAGAAGGTTTTAAGAACACTTGAAGCCTAAAAGTCGGTTAAAAATTGTCGGGCTCGCTTTCCACTGGCACCAGCGTAGCGTTCCGAGACTCGCTAGCCGGTATAAGAAGTCAGTAAGAGCAGTTGAGAACATGTATTCTAAAGACGATATGAAAATGAACCAGGACACGAGGCGAAAGCTAGCGCACGTGCACAAGGGTCGGTCAATTCCTAAAGCGACCGTCAGGCGCAATGTAGTGACATAAACAAAGCGATGCTATGAAGCCAAACTATGCTTAAAAAGCCTGCTAAAGCGACGTATTTAAAAAAAACTAAAGATAGACTTTTGTTTAAGCCTTTTCCAAAAGTCCTAGGAAGGAGATGTCAATGAGTACTTCACATTGATTAATTTGGTCATGCTTTTAAGGCGAAAGGTGATAACTCAATTCCAAAAACGTTTAGATATTATTATAAGGATCCTTGTAACTGTATTGACACAAATATTTTATGCACACTCCTCGGACTATCTTCCTTTTGAGAAGATGCTACACCTCGTTTTCATTATGGGCTTTATTGTGGCTTGCCTTGACACTACGTAAAAAGAGGCATTTATTTGTAAAGCTTGTGGGTTTTTAATGGGTCAGGAAGAATGCTTAGGCTTGGGCTTGGCCCAAAGTCCAACGAAATTGCGCAAGAGCAGAACAACTGCTACAGTGAACGCCAGACCTAGAGGTGACGCCTCGAGACTTATGTTTGGCAGAAGAAGGCTTGAGATGGGTAGAATACATCTTTTCAAGGCGAAAGGGAAAGATTGGGCTCGCGCTTGATTCAAGGCCAGCCAACGGAAATGTGGGCGAGATAAGTGCTCAAAAGACTGCTTGTTATGCAAATAGCCCATTAAAACCTGTACTGTGATATTTTCTAAATACATTTATGTAATCCAAAGAAACCCTGCAAATGTTTTGGTTTATCTCACACTGCTTCGAATATCTGCCATAACTCATTGTAGCGTCCCGAGACTTCATAACTGGTATAAGCAGGCAGTAAGTGCAGCTGGATACATGTATTCTGAAGACGATAGGACAAATGGGCCTGGGCACGACCCGAAGGCCAGCCCACGTATACGAGAACCGGACAAATCCTAAAGTGACCGCCAAACCTCGTGTGATCACATGCATAAAATATTAGACTCATAACATTCTAAGTAGATTTCCTTCATTATCGCCCGCATAAATGTATACGTAAACGTGCAAACTGTTAGTCGAAATGTGCATAAAATTTTTTTAAAGGCTGGTATTTTTGTTTGTGAAAAAACCGAATCATAAGTGAAATGCCTCTCATTTCATGAAATTTAGTGCTCTTCTGTATTTTGACCACAGATTCATCTCCTTTATTCACCCTTTTGGCGCCCAAAGACCTTTTTGTAAACCAATCCAACCTTCATACGATGACCATGCCATCCAATGGAAGCTCGAACTTTCAGTACTGACAGATACAGCCAATCACCACGCTGTGTGGTTGTTGATAGGTGCACACCTTAGGGGTAATGCTAACGCGCGGGAATCTGGCGTGGTCATAGTGATCTCAGATACCGCATCTTTGTAATTTTAGCCGTATGCTTTGCATCTATATTTGGTTCTAGATCTGGGTTATGTTACAGCATCATTTTGTTTCCTTTCTTTCCAGATTCCTCGGAAAGTCTGCTACTATTAGTTTATGCAGCATCTCTGTCTTCTCTTTATCACAATCCTTCTGGTGGGTTTCTTTATTATTGCTTATTTGCGTTATACACTTAAGAAGCATGGAATGTTATCGAAATATCTTGCAATGCTGGATTTACCTGGCAGTTTTTTTGGCTGGAAATGCTCTGGTGCAAAGTGCGCAGCAAGGTGATGCAGGTACTTCGGTTTTAACTTCAAATTCACATCATAGCTTCCTGCAGTGATGTATATGATTTTCGCATAAGCGGAGTGGTCTATTGGGTAGTTTGTTGTTGACTACACTCATTTCTGTTTAGAGTGGCTCTTCTTTGTCCAAATGCGTTTCATCAAACGGTACACGGTCATTTGGTCCTCCCAAAAATGCATTGAATGGGGCGAATGATGTTTCCAATTTACAGTTCACACCTAGTTTTGTTAATTTTAGTCAACAGTTAGTTCAATTGTTTTCCATATTTATGCACTAGGGAAATTGGAATGCCTGCTTATGCAGTTGTTACCATAACAAACACGTCTCCAAATCAATTCTTGCAACTCATATCGATCGAAACATCGTCGTTTACACTGCTGTTTGAACCAATAAATGTTACAGTACGTTAAACTGGCTTGGAAAAACCTGGTAATTATAGGTGCTTGAACCTCGACAAGCTGCAACCATTACTTTGCTTCTAGTTGCCAAAACGTTAGGACCTATCGAAGCTGAGCTATACGCTGCTACGAATTTTGGACTGGCTAGGTGTAAAGTGGGTTTATCTATTGATTGTTTAGTACTTAGGTATATGGGTTCTCTACGCCAAGTAGGTATGGATTGCGTCCAGTGAAGGCACGTCGTCTCAGTCTGTCTGCAAAGCATCGATTTACTTTCACAATTTCAAATCCATATCCATTTCCGATCGAGGTGAAACTTCAGTTCTCATCTATGTTTCTCTTGGATTTCGAAAAATTACAGTTATCTCTACATCAACTTTAGGTCTCAAGGCTAAGTCTGAGTACCTCCAATTACTCACGAACTAACGGGCATCGGGTAGCATTCTCATCGGTGGAAAGTTCTTGTCACTTGGAGCAAGCCTCAAGCGTTCATCAGGCTCAAAACTCTATCACTTTAGCTGGTCAGGAGAGTGGCTTGTGTTCCTTAACCTTATCAAGCACGGTACCGAAGACGTTGAATGCCTTCGTTACTGGGGTTATTTTGTTAGTGAATGCATCGGCAAGTGACCCTGAAGTGCCGCAGAACTCCTCATCGAATTTTCTTTTGCGTGAATTCTTCTTAAAACCCACGGTCTTTCTCTTTCCGCTTGAACTACATTTTGATACACCCCGTAAGCTCACCTTTTTCGTACTGATATTTGCAGCGAATTTGTTTTATGTTCAAGAAGAGGTCCTTGATTTTGGTAACCTCATGCATTCCGATCCGCCTAGACGGCTTCATCTCACGGCTTTCAATCAAATGGCTGTTCCTTCAGCTTTATTTGTAAGTTCTTTTGCGTTTTTACGATTCTCATTCTCTTCATTTATTATTTGCGTTTCTTTTGCTTAGATAAGTACGAAGGGTGCGGGAAACTATCTCGAAATATCTTACGATCCAGTGGTCTTCCCCGACGATTCGAACCACGGGAAGGAAATTGCAACAATTATGTTCAATCGTACGCGAGCATGATTACGCATTTCATTTGTGACCAATGCACTCTTACTCATACATTTTTAGAGCCTCTCACTACGTTAAATTTATTCTGAGGTCGATTATTTTGATTATTTTGCTAACTGGATATCTTGGCTTGCAGTTTAAAAAAGCTCTACTATGCGCCTCCATGGGTAGTGAACTGATCAATCACGAATTTGCATACGAAACACAGGCTCATTTCACACTGCTTTAGGTCTTTTCTATCACCTTCCCATGTTTTAGATTATTTCATGACATAAATTTTTGTAGCTGTTTTAAGAATGCGAGGGCATTCCTTTTATCTACCTAAATTGACTTCGATTCATCGCTATCTGAATCGCTTGATATATCGCCAGAAAATTACCAAATTGGTGTTCATCCATAAGTGTGTGACTTATTGTCTGTGCCCTTTCAATCCTCACTCCCTTGTAGCGGCCGTCGTAGACCGATTTGGGGAATTTTCAGGCAATGTGGACGTTGTAACAGATGGGCAATCGCCAATCGTTATTCCTTACGTAGCATCTGTGTTACAAGGGTATGTCATAAGCACACCATGTTTTGAACTAATTTCCCATCTCGTTGCTTCCGTTTCGACATCTTTATAGTTGTATTTTTATCGTGCTTCCTCCCCAAATGGCGGGACTTTGATGCTAATGTCATTGAGCTATTGAAAAAAAAATAAACTTGTGGAACTTTTGCTCCTTTTATAAACTTAGATCGCTCCAGTTTAGTCACCAGGATCTGTCTTTCTATTGTGGGCATCCAGGCGGGGTTTTTGAAAAGGAACGAACTTTGACGAAAAAGATTATTTCTCTGACGAATACATTCAAGTATCCTCTCGAAATCTGGGGCTATCGACTGCCTGAAGCCTATGCTGACCTGTTTGAGGTAATATGAACCTTACCTCTCCTCTCCCCCTATTATTGCAAATGACTTTGAACTTCGACACCTATCAATCTTTGCGTCAAGTTGGTCAGTTCACGGCAGCGCAGACCTTGAAGACTTAGCCGGCTCATCAGTGGCTTGTGACCAGTTTGTGAGGAGTTTTTTGCAACAGGGTACATTATGCATTAGCAGCCTTTACTGTTAAGTAACATAAAATCGTGAATGTGTATGTGATTTGATACCTCTTTTGATAAAGCGTTTTACATTTTATTTTTAACTGAGGCAATGTCTGCATGATGTGGAGCGAAGATGTTATTGATTCCAAGATGAGTGTTAGGTCTTGTCGACAAATAGTACTGTTTGCATGCAAATAATAGTAAGTGGTAATAATAGCAGTTGTGTGTGTAGTCAACGCACCCCTTCCATGCGTGTGCTTATGGTCTTGCTCCATTCAAATGTGCATTCAATTCTATGATTCGGTGTACTTCTCTGCTCATTACGCGTCACGGGAGCACCTAGATTATTCCACATAAGGTGCTAAGCCTAAGCATCAGCGTCAATATAGCTGAGCTGCCATTTGCCATTGTGACCTTTTATTTCTGCTTTTTTGCGACTGTGTTTTTTCAATACCTGATTGTCCCTTTTTAGGACCTAGTCAGCTATGCTCTTCTAATTTATTTTTCTTCCAATTAGGCCCCTCTAAGGCACTTTTTCGAGCTTTATTGTGTTGGGACGTGAAAGTAGTTATTGGTCGTCGTTATTTGTGTCAAGATTATTTCTGAACCTATCTGCTTTTATGTCTCCGATACACTTGAACTTTGTTTTTTTTCTCGGCTTTTGCCATTTTGACAGGTCAGAAACTACTTTGGAAAAGTCCCTTTACTCATCTTTTCTACTTATCGTTTTGTCTTACGATACCTTTTTTCCATTCTCCTAGATTGACGGTCTTGTCATGGTCGAGTTTCTGCCACCTATGGCATCAGTAAACATTTCTATCAAATTTCGGGGCCCAAGGCAGCAGGAGGCTTTTGTGTGCAAAGTCGACTCATTTAAGCTCATCTTCTACACCAATGCGTCGTCTTTTCACGTCTCTTTGAATATCTACGATGCTAAGTTGAAGGTAATGTTCTATCCCAATGTTTTTTTCTTTGGACAATCATGCCGACAGCCTCGGTATTTAAGATGGAACGATGTGGATTTGATATGCTACCTAATTCGCTAGATTCTATCGCCATATGCTGAGATATCAGACGATGCTCTGACTTTCGACGTCTTCGATTTGAGCAGTCAATATACTCCAAGTTTTTACGTCTCAAATCCGAATCCTATTGCGGTAAGTAGAAGGGAGTATTTTGATTTGGCATTGCACTTATTTTAACCGTCTCATGAGAATACGAATTGCCAACACAATGTAGTTATCTTCCTCATGTCAATGTCCACATACATCTCCCTTATTGTTTTTTATTCAATTTGTATACTTGATCCACGAGTTGATCTAGACATTTACTACAAAACAGCAAAGATTGTATGGCATATGGTAATGACGTTAGGCTTCTATTAAGATTTATGAGTCGCATGTGTTAGATCCTCTGAATAACTTACTGGGCTCCTCGATGCCGATGCAGCTGAATGACGTTGTAGGTTGTTATTCGGCGGTTACGGGTGGTCAAACCGGATGGAAGTCAATGCGTGAATCTTGGTCAAATCGAGCAACGCTCAGGTCTCTTCTGCCACCACCATCACCGAAGCTCTGAAGCTGAGGTCATATTGGTGTCGGAAAGGAACTGCACTTCGGCTTCGGTAAGCTAGAATGCAACCCTTTGAACAGGGTCATGAGATGACTCCACCAGGAGGTATTTTACTACTTTGCATCTACTTTTTATGGCATGATCCTAGTTCTCCCTTTTTTAGCTGACCTTACAGCCATCAAATTGGATACATTTTTCGATCATTTTTAATCGGCAGCAAGTCAATTCTGTCACTGAATGGAGTTTAACAGTCGAATCAAATCTTGTTGTGAGTCTTTAGCCACCTTACTAATAATATCGTGGCTGTTTTACGACCAATTTTTATCTTTTTTTAGACTATCTCGAAGCTTCTAAGATTTCGTGTGCCTGCCAGAGTATTGGCAATGAAATCTCCTATCCTTAACCTGGGTTCAATTTCTCCTGTAAGGCTTAAATCGACTAACGTGTCTCTTTCAATGTATTATTTACGTTCCTTTCCGTTACCATTCGTACTGCTCAATTGCAGCTAAGCTGCTATCCACAATCTCAGTGTTGAAACGGAATTTCGGTTTGGATATCACGGAATTGAAAGCTTTTTAATGGATCTCCCACCCGTTATCAATCTTACTGGTCATCTTGAGCAAATCATTCAGTCTTTTGGTTGTATTTTTAGGCATCTGTGAACCGTCACATTGCATATTAAGTTCCACCTTTTTCTCTTTGTTAATTGGTGCTTTGCACAAACTCATTTAACTATGGAGAACGCCTCATCAAGGGAGTTTTTGCTTCCCAGGCAAAACCACTTTCATTGGATCTCCAGGTGCACAACAGTCTCGCTAAACCGTTGCAAGTGACCTCAGTTGAGTTATGCTCCAATCACGATACACCCAAACTTCAGTTTGACCCCTTTCATCCCATTGGGGTCACATCGATTAACCTCGAGCCCAATCGGACCACGGTAATTGGTTCGCTGTCTTACAACGCTTCTCTGGACTGCAGAGAGGTCCTCGCAGCATCCATCACTTCTGGTTTTGGAAATGATAATACTTCCAGTCGAGTATGCTATGCCGGATTTGAAATTGGTAGCGCTAAGGGTATGAGCTTTACTTGTCTCTGTGCTTTACAGCTTGTTCATTCCCATCAAGATAGGTATCGAGATTTCCGAATTCACATGGAAATTAGAATAATTTTACGAGTTCAATGTGCTTATTGTCCTTTGCTCCTTCTACTTTATATTTCCTGTCCGATTATTCGAGATCGCTACCCTTATAAAAGGATTCCTCAACAGAAGATTTCAAAATACATTGCACAAGCTTTTCATTATTTGAATATTTCTTTACAAGAGCACCCTTTGCGAATTAAAAGCAGACGTCTTTGCAGCATTAGCGTTACCTGTTTGTCTTGTGCTTGGAGTCTTTATTGTTTTCAAGTTCGGGTTTTGGGCTTGAGCTTGAAGGAAAATTTCATAGTAAATACGTAATTTTCCATGCACTCAGCAGCCATCTTGGGTAGCGGTGCCTGGGTCGGTGTACAATTACGCGTGATATAGGAACACACTTGTCACTGCTACGATACCGTCCGTTTTTATTGCTGTAACGTCGAAAGTCTGGCTTAGCTTTAAAAATACAATATAGTGTAAGCAATCCTTCACTGGTTGCCCCGATCACTTGGAGGAGACATTTTTTTCTTGCTGAAGTCATCGGGGCAAGACCATTGCTGGGTTGGTCAAGTGACCGTCAAAAGTGGGCCCTAACCATAATTGCGTGTCAAAATTTGATCCTCATACGTAAGCAAAAAGGTAACCTAAGTTGGTCTGGTTAGCATGTCTGTACTTTGAAGCTCAGTATTGGGCCGATGGTGGGTGTAATCTTTTCAGTGATTAAGCTATTACTAGTTTGATTATTAATTTCTCATCCCGTTAGAAGTAGTACCTGTGTCTCCTGTGAGCTGTCTGTCCGATTTCATAATTTGTGCTACCGGCTTTTATTATTATTAGGAAAAACGCGTCATTCTTAAAGCGCTGCTACAAATTTCAATTTTGTAGTCAAAAAGGTACACTTTGCAAATGACAAACTTTATTGAATTGAATATTCAGTGAGGTGGCAGTGTGGGTTAATAATTTTATGCTCATCTTAAAAAGGAACATTCTCTAAAAATTGTACTTCGCAAATACCTACCTGAGGGAGGGTGTCGTGAGTCGTGCTACGTTTGAGTATTGTTGGTTTTGAAATTTGTATCTCGAGGTTAAAAAAACAAGTTTTGTTTTCACTTTACCTGGTACTCTCTTTTGATGCTCAGTCAATAGAGTTCGTGCTCGAACTTTCTTAGCGTCAAAAGAATGTGAGTCACTGATCATTTAAGTTGCATCCGACTAGTCGAAGGTTCCTTTGTCATGCGGTTAAAAGTGTCTTGATATTCAAAATTTCGAAGTACTACTCAGAGCACTAGGATTAAAACCCATCAGTTTCTGTCGTTGTTATTTTTTTAGGGAGATACTGGCTTGCAACCAACTTCTTTCCCCTAAATGATGACGGCTTGCCGAATCATCGTGTCATCTCTACTCAGCTCTCGGGCATCGCCTTTTTTCCCGGTCTACAGTTCTCTGCCAATCTCTTTACTCAGATGCAAAACGCCTGGCGTTCTTTGACTCGTAGTATCCATATGACCACAGTTGGTACCGCTCCACTCATAACTAAGTCTACGGAGGAGTGCCAAGTGATTGAGTGCGTTGCTATTCGTGCCACAGGCAAAGAAAAGCCGTCGTTTGTTGGTCATCTAGTAGCCAACCTTGTCTGGCCCCGTATTCTCAGTGAACATGTTAAAAGCGAAATGCCAAGCGTCAGGTTCACTCCCTCATCCATCTGTCAATTAAATTTAAAGTTCGGTTCCACCGAGGGTTTGGCACAATTGCGGATTCAGAACCTTGTAACAGAGATAGTTACCTGTCGACTGACTCTCATCAATCCCACGGAGAGACCTCTCATTATTCAGCCTATTCTCCTTGATGATCTTCTACCCGTGAACATGAATTACACCAAGATGGTTGAAGAAATGCCACTCCTTTCGGAGGAACTATTTCGCGCCGCTCATGTACCTCAGCATCTGACAAAGTTTCCACAGGTAAGTTATATAACACCACAGATAGCTTCTAAGGGAAGAATAAGCTATAATATTCCATTAAAGGCCTTCGAAGTTGGCAGCGTGGCTACTCTGTTGGCGTAGCTATATGTAGTGGATACTTCCATAGCTTCTTTAAGAATCGCCTTTGGTATCCTTCACTTGTCTGTACATTGCTACCAACCGCCCAGGAAAGGAGAATGCTCGTGAAGTTGCGTAAATGCTGTGGGTGTTGGCATAGTGCGTGTTCCACCATCTGAGGACTAAACGTTTGGTGACAGCACAACAATTTTGCCATGCTATTGGACTTTTGTGTGAGCACCTGCCTAAAGACGTGAGCTTAGAGGTAGGCATCTGTTTAGAGTGCAGATCATTATAGTGAAGCCGACCATTTTGTTGTCAACATTCACCTTGTACAAATCCAACATCTGTTAGCTATATAAGGTGGCATTTTGACAACACTCTGTGGTTGACGTAATCCAATACAACCATCAAAACAGGTACTTGTCTCTCATCCATCACGCAGAACCGATTGGTTTATTTATTTTTTCCACTAGCTTGGTTACTTTATAATGGGGTTGTCGTTAATTGGTGTTAGGCTTAATTTTACGAGAATGCGAATGAATTTGATTA